AGCAATGTCGTTGCCATGGCCAGTAGTGATGTCACAATCGTCATGTTCAGTACCCGCAATGTTATCATCATCATCATCATCATCCTCGTCAACATCATTGACGCCACCATCACCAAAACGAGCATCATGTCATCACACCATCATCATCCTTGTCATCACCACCGTCGTCGACACAAGCATCGCCATCATCATCATCATCGTCATCACAAAGAAAAAATGTTAAAACACTCATTAATAGTATTAATGTTTGTATTACTATTTGCAAAATTTTCTGTTTTTGATCATAAATCAGTATTGTTAAAATTGATTAAACTATCAATTTGTTGATTTCAGTTTAGCTGGATTTATCACTAGCATCCCCTTCGTCGACATCAGCACCGTCAGCGTCATCATCTTCTTCATCATCACCACCATTCCTTGTAATTACTCCAACAGGGTGTAGCGGGGCTCCGATGAAAGGGTTTGGGTGACAGAGGTACACGGGAGCAATGAAAAATTGTTCCAACACTGTCGGTTTCTGCACAAAGTCATGGCACGCACAGCCCAATCGACCGATACATTCAGACATGCATACACAGGTATGTACGTGTATACGAGTGTCATTGTACGTATGTACATGCGCATTAAGTACAAACTTGCATGCGTACACACCTAGGGATGTACATACGTGCGAACATATACCGGTTTATGAATTCATGCACCCATGTGCATAAGAACATGCGCGTACCCGCATGCGTGTATGCATAGGTAACATTGTAACATAACGCAATGTGTTGCGTCCATGCGTGTATGCACATACCTACCTACCTGCCTTCCTGCATACATATATAAATAGAGAGAGAGAGAGAGAGAGAGAGAGAGAGAGAGAGAGAGAGAGAGAGAGAGAGAGAGAGAGAGAGAGAGAGAGAGAGAGAGAGAGAGAGAGAGAAAGAAAGAAAGAAAGAAAGCGGGGGGGAGTATGTATACATGTATGCACGCTAGTGCATGCGAGGAAGCATGCAAATACATGTCTGTCGCTGTCTGTCTGTGTGTCTGTCTGTGTGTCTGTCTGTTTGTCTGTCTGTCTGTCTCTTCGCGGTCCGCTCTCCGTGTGTCTCAATCTCTGTCCTGTTTCTGCTTGTCTGCCTGCCTGCCTGTCTGTGTAAACGTAGGTATATGTCAAGTATGTGCACGTATACCTGCATGCCTACGTAAATGCATAACATGTACTTACTTGTAATACACCATGAACTTGTATGAATTTCTTTACCGGCCTGGCTCCACCGAGTGCGGAAGCCGATGTCTTCACAAAGCTGAACTAGCTGCTGGCAATCCTAGGATTAGGGTCCGGCACCAGGCTTGACGGATCTCACACGGGCCGGGTTTTCAGAGTGTTGTTCTTGAGCATTTTGATTGGGAGCTTTGACGACACTGCACGGGGCCAAGAAGGTCTACGCTGCTGCATGCTCTGGCCCCACAACACAGTCTCTGGGTCACCATCTGGGAAAAACCCAATCATAAAGAAAACAACTGCAAAGGTCGACGTACCAAGTAGTCATGATAATATCTACGAGAATCGATGCGAAGCTTGCCTTTCTGTTCGACCAATTTATGACCTTTCCGGTTCGAGGAACTATCTCGAGTTGCGCACAGAACAATTCGTGTATGTGTTTTCGTGGGGTTCCTTAGTTCGTGTGGAGATCTGAGGACTGAATATTTTGGGAATGAAAGACTTGAAGAAGAACCAAACATAGCTCACTTCACTCCAGATCATCATGTCGTGAATTATACCACCAGCATTGGGGCTGCAGTCTCGGGATGTCAAATGAAGGGAAACTCTGCCGACTCTGCCCAAGATGCTGCCGTGCTGATGACACCGTCGACCACAAATCCTGAAGGGGTTCCCTAGGCCCCAGCCACACCGCGACGGACCAGGACCGCCAAGAGTGACTTTTGTGCTACGACCTTCTCCTGTGAAGAGAGAGAGAGAGAGAGAGAGAGAGAGAGAGAGAGAGAGAAAACGACTCAGAACTGATGCATCACCACTTTCGCAGCGCTCGACTAGGTGGCCAGGTGACGCCAGGTGTCTGGCGCTTTGGTTTCCACCAAGATTGTATCTGGAACACCCAACTGCCCAATGGTTTTCAACTCCGGGAGTGGCTGCCGAGCAACCTGGGCTGAACGTCGGCACCTGCGATGCTAAGGGAAAGCTGGCTGTTGGATGTGTGGAAGCTGACAAGGGGCCCAGAACCCGGCTACATGAAAATTATGTGGCATTTCATAGCCAACTAGTGTAGGGATATACCACTCAACAGTTTATGTTTGGTGCTTCTTTGGCTCGTCACTGCAGGCCTCGGCAAGGCTTCCGTTCTGGGACGTGACTCACTCAGTACAGTAACTAGAGATTCTTTCCCATGCCCGAATACACTGTCGACCCGACCTAGCCTACAGGCCAACCCTTTCAGCCCCTGCAAAACAAACGGCCTGCCTCGTACTTTGTGGTCTTTATCTCTGGTGCTGCGTCTATGAGCATGGTGTCGCTCAAAGCAAAGGCAGTGCCTCCGCGGCAATTTCAGGCTGGCAGCTCATCTCTGCTGGGGTGTGAGGCAGTGAGAGACCCACTGAAGAACATGGCATGGTGTATGCAATTTCCATGTTGCTGTCTTCACTGTCCGCATGATCCGACTCGTAACAAACCAGTGCAAGATCATGCTGGACGTGTCAACCGGCTGGGCACCCCGACCATTTCCTGCGAAATCGACAACGGGCTCGATCAGCTGGTCCTTTTACGCCAGAGCTTACATCATGGCAACGGCAATGCTGTCAAGCGAAATTGCGGATGGATAGTCAAAGGGCGATCGAAACGCTTAGCAGGAGCAATGTGCAGCTTCCCCTCTTCCAGTTAGACATCGGGGTGTGTGATGGTGGTCGGCAGAAGGAGACTCCGTCGCATGCCGAATGTTTTGAGGCCGCCACCGGGTTGGGGACATGCATCTTCGCATCAGCAGGGTGGCACAAACAGCAAACTAGCGCAACAATGAGTATCATGGTTTGACTCCCACCTGGATGCATGAGCTTGCTTCTCAACTTCCTACGTTCCCACGACGGGTCCGAACTTGATGCTTGTGAATGCCACGGGGTTAGTCGTCAGTTGTCCTGAACCAAAGCTGCAGCTGCCGGATGGCGTGGGACCTTGACAGGCATTCAGCACGCGGAGTGAAGCATGGTAACTGAAAGGAAGTCTGTGCTGAGACTCTGCTGCCCGACTTAAGTCCTGAAGCAGTGAGCGGCCAGGAAGCCGTTCTTACGCTTCGGTTTCAGGTTTCGGGGACTTAACAAAGCGTGTCATCTGGCACCAGGCCTGGGGAAATACAGAAACATGCCAGGGATACGGAGGTGATCGCGCTTCACAACAGTCTGGTAATTAAGAGCGAGCTTCCGGTAAACATTTGGACTAAGGAATCCACACATTGCGCCCCTCTGCCTCCTGACTCCTGGAATGCCCGTCCACCACAAGCAGTTTGCAGGCTCAAACCAGCTTGGCAAGCAGCCCACCAAATTGCTTCCAAAATCAAGCCGAGTCAAATGCCCAATCCTGAAAACATCACTCAATCCGCCCTTCCCAATCGGGAGCTTGGCAACTCGGGAAACTATAATAGTCGCCTATTTCCAACCAAAAGGCACGAGAAGGAAACAGCCGAGCGCCGACGAAGCAGCCAGCACGAAGCAGGACGGCTGCGGTGGCAGCCAGAAGACAAAGCTTCCGCGACATACTGCGGTAGGAAGAACAATCTGTACGAATAAGCGCTTAACACATGTCTCAGATGTTGTCTGCTGGAGCTGCGGCGCCGTTGCGTTGCTGGTCGCCAAGTGAGTGGTCAGCACGGCGGCCACTACGGGCAAAGGGGTCTTTGACTCGATCTTCGACTCCGAAGACAACTCAACTCCGGCGTGATTGGCAGAAGGAAACCACAGACATGTAAATGAAGTATCGCAATGGTAGTTCGTGTGTAATTTGCATGCAGATGTGGGAAAGCAACGGCTGCGGGTAAGGCGTCGCTTGCAGTGTGGCAGTCGTCGTCGGGGCAAGCATGAACGCCAAGCTACTAGCGAGTAGCAGGAGTACTAGAAGTGGTGGCTGTGGTAGATATAGTAGCAGCGGCAGCCGCGTAGGCCTCGCCGTCGTCGCTCAGGAGTATTTGAGAGTAGCACTAGCGCTAGCAGCAGCAGCAGCGCTGCAGCAGCAACAGAAGCAGTAGGACTAGGAATAGTAGCAGCACTAGCAGTAGCAGCAGCAGCAGTAGCAGCAGCAGGAGTGAGGAGAGAGCAGCCGCATCGAGCGAGGTCAAAGCTGGTGGTAAGCAGCAAGGACCAAGACAACACCTTGATACATTGTTGGTCCATCACCAAGCAAGAGCGGAGTCAAGCTGTGCCCGCAGAGATGGCAGCTTTTTAATCAATATCGCTCGTATGCCCTCTGGGAAGGACTGGTCCACGGCACCTGTGCATGTGTTTTCTCTGCGGCTCGATGCATCTGGATTCTTACGAGAGCCTCCTCCTCCTCCTCCTCCTCCTCCTCTAATAAACCGACGACGACTACTACTACTCCTGCTCCTGCTGCTGCTGCCGCTGCTACTTGGACTAGACAGTGATACCAGAGCCTGTTCTCGTGCTTGTGTAAGCAGAGGCAGAAGCAATCGTCGTCGCAAGAACGAGGAGTGCAAAGGCCGGGCTATCGCGACTTCAAGAAACGAATTGGTAGTGACACGTAGTATGCACAGATTTGCACGCACCTGTTGTAACATGAGCGAAGTCGCTATCCCTCCTTGCAAACAATCTAATCTGGTGAAGCCAGAACCTGACAAGCAGAATCACGGCTATCTAAACCCTACAGCGATAAAGCTTTGCTAGTCTTTGCGCCTCTACGCGTCGCCGGCCCAGCCAAACCCCGAACTACAGCTCTGTAGTTATGCAAGTACAGGCGTGCTTGCTGCTTCAGCACATCTTCCTGCATTCTGACTTCAACAACCAACGAACATCCGACAACTCTGTTTAACACAAAGCCGCTTTATCCCAAACCAGGGGCCTTCCGGGTTGCTCTGGCACACCCGGAGGTGCTCCAGAATGTGTGGGAGCTCATCCGTTACCTTGCTTCGGGGTCTGCTCTTACCATGGTCAGTTCTCTTAGACACATGGCGCGACTGAGCTAAGACAACGGCTTGCGAAGCTCATGCAAGCGCTGAGGATCTCGCCTCATTCTGGGCCTATAGACTATAGATTTCGGGGGGGGGGGGGGGGGGGTAAAGTCCCGGCAAGCCGTAAGTTAAGTTGCTTTGCCATGTTGCATGCGTTCGCCAGGCCGCGGCTTGCTTTCCACCAAAGATGCCGCTCCTCGGGTGATCTGGCAACCCGAACTGCAAACGCCTCAAGCCCTAGCACCCACATGAGTTCAAAACACCACCCAGTAGACTTGGACTGGAATGGTTGGACCATGCGCTGCCCGTATCTGCGGATGGTATTGGCATTCGCGGCATCGCAGCAGCTCACCACAGTCTCGATGCAGCCACAGATGCAGGCATTCCTCACTCTGAAGCGATCGCTGCAGCCGTCGTGCGAGGGTTTCAAAGTGATAGCCCCAGGCTACCTGTGAGAGACAGTGGCAGGTGGCTTCCTGCACAAGACTGGGCTTGAGGCTTGATACCGACATGGGGGGTGGAAGTGCAGGCTCCCACATTGCAGTCGTTAGCACTGTCGAAGCCTAGGATGTGTCAAAGGCCAAGCCAGAAAGTCACGACTTTGATCTGATGATCATCGTCCTCGTCATCGTTTCACTCACCGTCACGATCCCATCGTGCAGGCCAAAGTTCTGTTACACACTTTCAAACTCGAATCCACGCAGCAGTGCCTCCAAGGAGGCAGCCGACGCCACCTCCTCGAACCTGGAGGTCAAGGATAGCCACGGTTTCAGAAACGGAAAGAAGGATAGATACAACTTTTAAACAAGACTCGGCTTTATCCAGCTGAGCTTTGGTGGCGCTTGTTGGTCTAGGAGTCTAGGGGTGAGGTACTGCCAGGAACGGCAGATCAACACAATCGCGAGGTGCACAATGAGCAACGACGACGTTTCGTGTTTATGTGGCACTGCGCATATTGCGTATCAGCATGGCGTGGCAAAGCTGTGATGTCACCGGTTTATCAAACACGAGACTGTGTCACTGCCATGTTTCAACACGATCAAGCATTGGCTCTCATCTGCTAGGGACTCTTGACCCCGTGAGCTGAAATCAAGCAAGAAGTGTCCGGAAGCCCTAAACCCCAGACTCCTCAAGCCACTTTTCCTCCCTTTCGAAGAAAGCTCATCGAACAACGATATTACCGGTAGTGTTTTCATATTATTATGCTCGTTGTGCTGGCAGTTTTGCTCTTGAAGTACCTGAAGTTCTTGTCTGTGCTGATGAGCCATCTTATCACGGCCCTGATGGTGCACACTTCTACAGTACGACACCCGAATTCACAACTTCTTCAATGAAGGGGCCACTTGTGGGTGAAGCCGGCGAAATAGTGATGTGGCAGGTTGTGGAGGGCTCCTGTAATTTAATGCATGTGACGGAGGTTCAGCTTGGCGTTTGGGTTTCAGTATCTTTTGGGGGGCTCCGGGGCTCTGGATTGAAATTATGCAGGCGAATGGCAAGGCTTTTCGTGTCTCGTACAGTTTGACGTTGTGCCGCATGCAGTGTGCGTTTCAGGTTCGGGAAGATTCGGGCTGGCCTTGCTCTATCAAGTTGTCCGTCCGGCGCGTCTTCATCCGCAAACGAACTATTCAGTGTAATCCTCCTCCTCATCATCATCGCCATCACAATCGCCACCACCATCACATCATAATCACCAATGTCCCCATCATCGTCCTCACCATCGTCATCATCATCCTTCTCTTCATCATCAACATCACCATTATCATCATCACCATCGTCAGCATCATCATCACCAAAATCATCATCATTGTTGTCAATATCCTCTATCCCCAGGCACATCCCTGCCAAAGCAGCAGATGCAGCAGGAGCATCCAAATCAAAAGCACCGTTCCCTGCGAGTTAGGGTCCTCCGAATGGCACCTGCAGCAGCACCATACCACCTGCAAGGCTTTCAGGGCTTGGCCAGGGGGTGCAGACTTTTTCAGACTTTAATCAGCTTCGACGAGGTAGAGCAACCGGGCAGAGCCACCTCAAGCTTCATCTTCATAAAAATGAAATCCTGAAGACCAAGAACCTGAACATCCTGAAATCAGATGCTCTGCGGCACCCCTCCCAAACGAATCTCCCCTTGCCACTTGGTTGATCGCACAATTTAAGGCTATTTCTTCAGCGTCCCTCATTTTCTGAGCCACCTGGTTTCAAAAGGCGGCCCATCTCGTGCATCGCCTTCGTGCACGGTCATGGAGGGTAGCTTCGCTCGGGTATCTGGGATACATAGGGGCTGCGGGGCTGCATCCAATTTGTGCCTTCTAGAAGCTGCTACGTAAATCTTCCTTCCCGGGACATGTATATGGACGACAACTGTGACTGTTGCAGCAAGGCGTCTGCATGCATGCTAGGGTTACTCGAACACAGCCATGGCCCAAAAGAAGTGTGAGCAAGTGTGCCAGATTCAAACGACGTGATTCCCGATTCCTCACCGTAAAACGATGGTCAACTTCCATGCCACGAATACACGGACCCGAGTTGGATCTTTCTGTGCCCTGGAACTCGCATAACACAAGCCCTATAGTACTATAGTCTAGCTAGCCACTAGCCATCTCTGGCTCGCCAGCCACCAGCTGCTACTTAAGCGATGATTCTGGCAGCCAACACGTATGCGGGAAGACGCTTCAGCTTTCCAGAACTCCGCATAATCTCTCTCCTGATGACATCTCAACACTCCATACCCCTGAACCAAAACTACGTCCATCCGAATGCACGTCAGCCCAAAAAATGAGTATCACACCGATAGCCGAGGTCCTGAGTGTCACCCACTCACTCACTCTCACTCTGTCACTCACTCTCTCTGTCTCTGCCCGAAAGAGCCCGAAGCCGAAATCCCGGAAGCCTTGAATTCACACTTTATCCACCCTTCACAACTCAAACCTTGGAGCAAAACCTCCTAAACACGCAGATCCTCAGCTCAGCTCGCCGCTCTCTTTGGATTGAGCACGTGTTCGAGCACGTCCGTACAAATTACCAAGTCGAAGGATTCGTCCGGTAACCTCAGCTCGCCGCTTCAGGATTGGCTCCGGCTCCAACTGGTTAGAGTAATCGCACTCGAAGGTCTGGTCAAGACTTAGGTACAAAGGCGGCCAAGGAACGGAATGTTGCCAATGTCAGAGACGACATCGATCTGGCCGTAGCCTTGCCTTACATTGGGTGCGGGTGTAACTCGGCATCGCTCATAACATACTAGTACCTTTCGGCACCGCACCTGGCTGGGATCCTGAGCTCCCAAAGTATGGCTATTGGCTATGGGTAGCTCACGCCAGTTCCTGACGGTGCGCGCGAGTGCCACTCTGCTGAGAATAAAGCGACAGCGAGCTGCTGCGCATCGAAATAACCGTCAGAGCTTTGTTTTCATTCCAGCCAGTTTTGTCAGATGTTGTCGATGCCTTGTTGCTGATCCGTTAGGTGTGTCTATTCGCCTGGGCCCTGGCCAAGCGGTCAGAGGTTCCCTCTTTCCCCTCCTGTAAATCCCCTTTCCAATGACCCACCCCTGCGAAGTGTCTCCCAGATTGGATTTTGGCAAGCAAGCCGGGAGACTCTGACGGCAAAACAAAAACCTAAAGAGACACCTCCACCCCCGTGTCATGTGCGTGATTCGTCGTTCACCTGCGACCGGGACCGAGGGGGAATTCGCAATTGCATGTGCTGTGTTTTCCCATCACATTGATGTGTTTTTTCGACGTTGCCATTGTTGGTGCCAGAAATTATTCAGTGCTAACTACTAGATTACTAGATTACTACGTATGACTGCTACGAGTGCTCCTGCTATCACTATCTCTTTGTTCCCTTTACTTGTCAAACACTCTTCAGCATCCGGAGCATATCCGGCGAGCAAGCCGACTTGCATGCCGCCTTCAAAAACCTTCTCAGCAGAAGGCAGGACAGCACTAAGCAGCCGAAAGTGGCCCCGCACCGGCCGTCCTGAATGGCATAGTCTGTCTCGTTTAAAGAAGACAAGCCGGAACGATTGCTGACCTGCAAAATGCGGGCAGGCGGCAGGAAGACCGACCCGGCGATGCCTTCAGTGCCGTTGTAGTGCATGGCATCCTTCGACATCTGCAGGAATTGAATCTCCCACGCACAGACAGAAACAAAAGCCAGTCTTCTGCCCGGACTGCAAACCGGGCACCTTGAAGCGCGGGCGCCCTGCTCGCGGCATTGATCATATTTTGCTTGCGACATCTGCGCAGCTTCGTTGCAATTCCACTGCTCCTAAACCTTGCTGCGTGCACGGTAGGAGCCTCTGTACAGGATGCAGCATCGGCTTGCCTGCAGGCCCCTGGACGCACCTGACTGTACAAAAGGGCATGCATGGGCAAAGGACAAGGGAGGATGGTTTGCACGAATTTTGCCTGGAAAATCAAAGGATACCGAGATCTTGGATAGATGTTGGAGCGGCATGCCTCTTGGCCCAATTGGGGTGTAGGTGTAGGTGTTACGACTCGGAGCAACAGTGTGGAAGAAAGGTGCCCAAGCCGGCTCATCCGGCTCTAAAGTGAACGTCTGCACTTCAACACTCAAGCGACCCCAGGACCAACATAGCGAACTGCAGTGGCAGGCGTCTCAGTCCGGCAACGTCTGAAGCTTCGAGCTTCAAAATGCTCCTCGGGTTCACTCTCGTCCCTCTCAATGAAGGTCTTGCGCACCTGTACCTTCTGCTGGCCGGCTCGAGCTGCCGCGTCGGCCTGGATTCGCTCCTTGGTCTCGTGGACATGACACAAAGACACTGATGACACCGTTTTCAGTTTTGTTGATGAAACCCGCAGACTAGCCCAAAGAACACACAAACGAGGACCAACCGAGGCTCTTCAAGGGAGGTAAGGCGGACTCGCTTGCAGAAGCGCGGAGTGTTTGCCTCGTTTAGTCCTGGTGCCTGCGCTCCGCCATTGGCACGTCGGTAAGCAGTCTTCTGCAGTAGGTACGCCTCTTTCAAGCGGTCTTGAGCGCGGGACCATTCTTCCCGAGCCACTGCGCATTGGAAGTACAGTAGCTCCTTTCCGTCCAAACACTGGTAAAAATGTAGGCTTTCACCCAGGCACTCTGCCAAGGCCTGCATGTACCCGGACAGGTAGAAGCCATCAATGCCATCTTTCGCGGGGTCATAGCGGACCCAAGTTGACAAACCCAAGTGGTTGCCCGCATCGATTCTCGTGACATCTTCGTGTTCTTCACCAGAGCACACAGGGATTAACGGGAATCCCCGCTTGAAGGTTTGTATCGTCAGAACAACGTAGAACTGCTGATCCAATGCACGAAGCTGGCTGATTCCCGGCCGATTCAGATAGTACTGTGCAACTCTCCTACCTGATTCCATGGCCCCGTACAGCTGCGCAGCGGCCCACTTAGAAAGGTTAATGCCGCTGGACACCCGAAAGATGTGGTACACGTTGCACATCCCCTTCTCCCCCTGTGGGCGGCAAAAGTTGATGGCTTCGAAGGCTTCCGACGGGCTCATGATGGTCCTCTCGACGGCAGAACCAGGATCTCCGTCTTAGGCCTTAAGCAACTCCTAAGCTTCAAAACAACAGGAACAGTTCTAAGGACCGAGGGTCTGAGAACAGTCGCCAGTTTGTGGATAATTGCGCTGGGTGCGCATGTGAAGCTCCACAGCCTCAGCCGGGTCGTAAAAATGGGTCTGCAGAAGCTCCGTCCCGATCTCGCCGAAGAGCACGGCAAAGACACGCAAGACTTTCCAGGATGCCCACCGGCATATTATGGCATCTCCCGGTGCCTCTTCTCCATCAAGACCATGGAAGCAAACTGTTTAGCACAGCACAGATGCAAAAAGCTTAGATGGGAAGTACATCAAAACGTCCCAGGCACCAGCTGCTCCTTCACTGTGAAATGCTCGGGGCTCGATTCTGCGAAGTTCTTAGCCCACCACGCGCGCGACTCGGGCCGGACGAAGATGTGCGAGGGATCGTCGGGGGCGTCTGCCACCTGCACGTCCAGCACCGTGAGCTTCACCAAACTTCCACCCCACGGACAGCTGCAGTAGGAGAGGCTGACTGACTCAGCCTCCGCGATGCTATGCCAACCAGCTGGACTGAGCAAATGAGGAACCAGGTAACACCACTCCTCGATGTTCTCAGGACGCGCTGCCATGAGTATCGTTCGGGGACGGTCGCCGCACACCGACAACCTTGCACTCGGGTGCTTGTGTACCAGCTCCCCTTGGACCGCCCGATGCTTGAGCCGTGCGAGCCGCGGCGGGCTTTGAAGACAACACGTAAGCTCAACCCCCAGCTCTGTCTGAGCCGAGGCTGTCCTGCGCCGTGTAATTGAACCCGGCATCCTCCATCACTGGCTTGCAGGGCGCTGTCCCGGCTCCAACATCCAGCACCTGAGCGTGAAGGGACGGTGGGCCGTCTTCATGACGTAAGACTTGCTTGTGCACGCGCGGGCGAGCCCGTCTCTATGAACAGCTTCGGGAGCCTCTCGGACAGGCTTAGAAGGACTAACTCTGAAGAATGCCACGCTAAACTGAACCCAAAAGGCCAATGACGCTCTACTAAAATGCTGCTGCAATAGCTTCGAGCCCTGTTGCCTGCGACATCGTTGGAAAAGCTACCACCGCTCTCGCGATCTGGTGGCATTTGAGGGTGCCTCCCTTGCGCAAGTCCTGGCGTGCAGAAGCCAGCCACGAAATCTTCCTCTATGTCTGATGCGATACCACCGTGGTTCGGACATTCCTTGCCTCCGGGCCCCGTAACTAATTTTTCTCCTGAACCCTTCGAACCATCGACAGATCAAGCCTCCGCAAGCCCGCTCCGACGCCTGAACATATGTTCCATCAGGTACCCGGTTCAGCAATGGACTTCGTGGCTGCGGTTTGCGATCAGGGTGTATCCACAGCCAGGATTGCTAGAGATCGATGTTGGCCTGTACATAACTGCAGTCCTAAAGCATCCATGCAAAAGAGCGGCCCCGTATTTTGCCCGGATACACAGAAATACCAAGTTCTGATCATACCCCTGCAACTCCTAAACCCAAGCAGCCATCAAAACCTCCCTGCTTGTCCCTTCCTATCACGGCCGCCTCCTCTCGCACCCGGTGCAGTAGAAACTCCCGCTGCTCCGGCCGAAGCTGTTCGAGGCCTGGGGATTGCGAAGCCTATCCCGGGCTCATAACTAGTAATTGTAGGACTCGAACGAATCTGAGAACCAGCCTGGAACACTACTCATCTTCTGCATTTAACACAGGAGGAACCGAGGCGAAGCTGCTTGATGACTGCAGCTTTCGCGGTCTGGGCTGGACCCTTCGATTCCGACATGTGCATCATGTGCCCATGGTGCCAATGCTTGCTGCAAGAATGCCGAAGCATGCATGCCGGCCGGCATTCGGCCACTTTTCGTGAAGGAATCTGTCCCGAATCTTGCGGCAAGCCAGTGGAAGCGTGCGAGGTTTGCAGAAATCAATTTCAAGGTCAGGCCTGTTTCAGTTTCGCCTTGCAGGCCCTCAGCACATGCATGCTCGCCACCGAAGAAAAGAGCACGTCAATCAGCCGCCATCCTTGCTTTCCCGTCGAACGCACGAATCTTTATGGCCGCCACGTAACTACACCTGAAACATTCAGCCTGCAATAAGCCACTTCTCCAGCATTCGGAATTCCCGAAGATGCCGACTAGTAGAATCCGGGGCATGCGCTCCGGTTTGTAAGATGGGAGTCCCGAGGTACTATGTTTACGCAGAACATGCGGAAGTCTTGAACAGGAAAGCCCCAACTGTTGTTCCGGCAAAACCACAGCTGGCGCCTTCACCCCCGATCTTGCTCTTCCGCGGAAAGCAGGTGTCGTGTGTCTGGCCGGGATTCGGGTTGAGGGGCCTTTCTACAAACGGCCGCGTTTCCGGAAAATGAGATGTCAGATGTGAGAAGAGCTGAGAACGACCTTGCTCCCTTAAATTGCACCGGGCACTGGAGAGAGAACGATCCATCTCAATGAATGTGTGCATGAACCCAGTTAAACTTCCTAGTCTGCGGTGCCAGGGCTCCTTGTTCGATGTCTCGAATCGAAACCATCAAGCTCATTGAAACAACTGGCACCAAATGCACGTAGCAGCAAAAGGGCTTGACACGGCCCTGCTCAAACCTGCCGCTGGTGGCTCATAGCCATGCCACCCCTACAGCTGCAACACCAGAAACAGAATCGATTCGGCTCCGACTGAGTCGAAGGAAAGTGCGCCTGATGACAGCCGGGCTGTGTAGGGCAGAAGAAGTCACCAGTACCGTACGCATCGCAGCAGCCGTAGTTCTCCTAAGCTCAAGTTCAGCAGCAATCCGGATTTGCGGCACGTTCGTCGCTCAGCTATCTACATCAAGTGTTTAGCACCGGCGACATAACTGCCTGTCCAAGAGTCAGCACCGCACCTGGGTGAGAAGCTTTGCATTTCAGGACATCAGCAACGTCGAGGCATTTTTGATGACTGAACGTACATGTGCATGCTGCAACTCTTCAAAGTTGGAAAGACCTGCAAAGACCTGCAGCTATGCCGAGAATTATTGAATTCACCATCCACATAGTCTACCTTGGCCCGGGCCTAGGACAAAGGTTGGCTGCTCGACGTTCGAAAGCCAAATGCTTGGCACAACTGGTACCAGACCAGAGGTCAAAGAGAGATTGGGTTTTCGATTTAAACTGGTGGCACCCCACAGTCTGCTAGAAGCAGAGCACTTGCTAGGCCAGCCACAGCCACGGCAATACAAGCACACCGAGAACACTGAACTGGTTGGAAATCCAGGAAAGCACCTGAACCTCTCCAAGTCCCACGCAAAAGAAGGTGTTTTCCAGTGGTGCCAACGAGCTCAACCCTGTTCATCATGATGTTATCAACCGTGTTGTCATTGGCTTTGTGATAGTGGCGACAATGTCAACCAGATAGCCATGTACCAAGAACCAACGCATATTGCTGAAAACTGCATCAAGATCTCTTTCTAGAGTTGCTTACGTAGGCACACGTGGCTGGAAAACTACGTGTGATCCCAGAGCCAGCACTGGGCTCCCGACGTGAAACCTAGGCCAGGGAGTCAGGTTGTTTTCAGCTACGGGGATGCTTTGTCCAGGCCATGCACTGCATCAAGGCCAACACTCGTGCTTCAAAGAGCCTGAAAGTTACTGAGCTATATGGGTTGGTGACGACGATGGCGGCGACCAGTGCTATTCGGGTGGAGTTCTTAGGCTTACTATGGCTTACTTTGGCTGCGTCTCAGGACTCGTCGCGATTACTTGACAACCCTCTACCGGTGATCACTGGTGCGCTATGTTACGGCCATCGAACCGACAAGCAAGCTCGTGGTTGCGCCCTTGTGGTACGAAAGCCAACGCTACGGCACCTGGAACACTCTGCCTTCAACCATCACAGCAGACGACCAAATGCTCTTGTTCTGCACCCCCCGGTATTGCAACCAAAGTGTCCTCCTCTTTGTAACGATCCCCTGAGAAAGGTACCCCGACAAGCACCGAACCCCCCTTCAAAAATCAGAGAAGCTCTGGTTCTCAAGGTCCATAGTCCACTCGAGCTGGCCTTGGCTTGGCTTCGTAGGTTTCAGACCCTCCAGCCTGTTATGTCCTAAAGGTGCTCTGATCCTAAAGTCTGCAGTGACTGCAGTGCTAGTATGTTTCAAGGTTAATGATGCACTTCAGGGCAGGAGCGTTGTTCTGTGACAGACTCCTGGGTGAATCTTTCGGAGGACCACGAGCCCACCAGAGGCTGTATGAGCTCTAAACTGAACAGCACTCAGACATCCCCAGATGTGGTGATTCTTTTGCCGGGGCACACAGGCATGCATTCTGAGTCAGCGAAGTGGGATCTCGCGTCTTTGCACTCTGCACAAGATCCTTCCAGCCTGCAGCGCTTGGGACTCGGGAAGTGTAGGGCCCCAGCAACCTCATCCCACCAAAGACTTTCTGGCTGAGAGTCTTGAAGCCGGCAACCCCGACAAAAAAAAAAGTACATGCGTCCATCCCTCGCGAGTATCGTTTTCTGGCGCAGAGCTGCGGACTCACGGCTCAGGCTCGGCTCTCAACTCTCAGCCTTGCAACTGGAAGTTCACCAACACAAAGTGAAGCAAGCGCGGTGGCGGTCAAAGCATCTCTCGAAGTTTCGAGGCGTTCAAGCTCTTGCGTTAGGCTTTCATGCTATGGGTGAAAGGTTGGGGATTTGAGATTCAACCCTTCAGCCACATGCCTTTCTGTCGGCGCCGCTGCCAAATGCGGTGGAGCAATGGAAGAATGGGCGCTGGGCCAAGGAGAAGCCTCGACATGGGTAAGGACTCCAACATTCCAACATTCACAGCCCCGCAATGGTGTGAAAATCCCACCTGTGTCACGTGGATGCACTCAAGTCAACGCCAGGTGCTTGCTCTCCGGCTCTCTTAAGTCAGGCAAGCCCGGCTCGGGGATTCAAGCTTCGGGTTTTTTGCAACTTACGACAGGCGCTACTGCGAAGCCTACACTGCATCTTCGCCCGCCGAACTTGTGTTTAGCTCCGTGAGCAGAAGGAAGGAAGCAACATGACGAAAGCAAGTGATCAACAACAATTGAATCCACAAAACTCACAATACAGTGCTACAACACGGAGAGCCACAAACGCACAATCCGAGGAAATCGCTGCGTTGACCAGGATCCTTTATGTGGCTCTTTCCGGCCAGGCCTACATTTGCTACGGCTACGGCTTTGAGTGGCGAAGAGGGTCCGTTCTGGGAATTCAACTGAAGGCTTCGTGGCCCCGTGGCCAAGGGGCCAAGGCTTATGGGTTTCAGGGTTTGGTTTGGTTCAGGCCTGAAGCCAATCTTCTTTGCCGCACGCACTGCGCAAGTGGGAACGGTTTTGGCCGGATTGGCAAGACGATGGGGCATTCGACGACAGAGCGAGCTATGGTGAGCAGACACCTGGGTGAACCTTCCCGTCAAGGAGACCTATGCTTCAACGCGCGACTTGAAATTTCAAGATCATGCAGGCTGCAGGATACATTTGCTCCAGACACGTCCAGACCGGTTGGCCCCAAGCCCAAAGCATCGCTCAGCATTCTGGGTTGGAAGGCTTCAGCTGCTGCGAATCTTCGAGGCAGATCCCTCATATACATGGAATTGAGTTCACCCTTGCTCGCGCGGCAGAAGGAAGCCTTCCGTCGTAAGAACTTAGAGCATTGGCATGCCCTTCGAGAAACAGTGTAGAAGCATCACTACGACGCTAAGAGAGTGCTCATGTCTGCAGGCTGAGCAGTCTATACTGTCCACGTCTCAAGCCGGCCCTGCCAGTGTCTAAAATTGCACTGATTTCAGGGATGACCTGGGATGTAGGCCTCCAGAGATACTTAAACTAACACTCAGTAGGTCAGTAGGGCTCATCCCCACGCTGAGAATTTCACGACCGTCCTCAGCGAGCGTCCTCTTCTGTAGAAGTCGACAGCTCCTCACATGAGCTGAAGAGTACACTCCACATGCACCTCTCTGAAGAGTTGTGTGCCTGACAGCCCTATGGCCCTCTTCAGTACCTACGTACCTCCCCAACATACTTGTCGATCGCAACACTCCGCACACACAACCGTAATCATGACAAGCTTGCGCTCAGTCAGTTTACTCACTCACCAACCCGACCACCCCCCCACGATATCCCACGCTCACATATGCACACGCAGGCAACACAAAGACAGCGACACGCAAATGGAGCCAAAACTATGTACGACATGACCTTCATGATTGGGCGGAGCAGCGGTTCAGAAGAACTAGCGGCTAGCGGCCCTCCACTTTCAAATTGATGATCCATGGAAGGCATGCACAAGGGAACGAAGCCACTTCCAAGTGACCATGCCCTAGAGCCAGCCGTCCGTGACGCGATCCCAAGGGCAACGGCACGCACAAGGACTCTTGGTGTTCTATACCCCTGACCGGCTACAAATGCTTACAGCACTTCTCTTCACTACCGATTTCCGCCACCTCACCCTCAACCTCAACCCAGCCAAGCACCACTCTCACCTCCTCCTACCGTCAACCCGGGTCACACTCGTTGTTTCTCTCACTCACACAACCGCGCTTTTGTTTTCTCTCCCTCTCTCTCTCTCTCCCCCTCCGTCTCCCCTTCTCTAGAATAAAGATACTTACCCATCCTCCTCGTGGACACATAAACGGAAACTTGTCTGCTTCACAAGGGTCAGTTCATTGCCGCCTGTTTGTCTCAAGCCTTGCATGCCCAGGAGCCGAATCCCCAATCTCCAGCTCGTCGGCACATATAGTACTACGAAGTGTCGAAGAACTTCGGCGGAAGAACGCCTTCCGGCTCAGGCTTAGGGAGTTAAGACCTTTTATCTTGGGCATGCCCTCGCAACCGCATCCAAGCAGCGGCTGCGTCCCTCTACTACTCCCCATTCCCAACAAGCACATCGAGGATTCCTGGTAACTCTCTTGAGTGACTCCCTCGAAACAAATTATGATAACCCTTCATCCGGGCAGTGGCCGCCTGGCTGCGGTGTGCCACGGTTGTCTCCTGCTAGGGCAGGCGGAGGAGGGCCCTACCTCCTTGTCCTTTATGTATGCATCTTCGGTAGCCTTACCAGCCTTACCGGAGCTGAGAATCCCGACCCTGCCCGTCCTGCAGGATTTCGTGCACGGCACTGCGCGTAAGCTCCTGCCCAGCCACGAGCGGCATGGCGCAACTACGAACTACTGCAATTAAGAGGCCAAGCCGAGCAGTTGGGAAGAGGAAAACTGAAGGCCAGAGAGTCGGAGTCTGCAGAGTCCTCTAAAGTGGCATCCTTGCTGTTCGGGCCGCCGACCTGCAGGGCTGTAGGAAGCAGTTGAGGGTCCCTCAGAATTCTGGGTTTGAGGGTCAAGTCCTGCTCACCTTACACTGCTACACTGCCTCATCGTGAAGAACATGTTCGTCTTTCACTCGCGACTGTGCCCTCCGAAGGCTTGAAGTGGCCAAAGCTAGCCAATACTTCGAAGAGCTCATGCTGTCAAGTGCCCGTCCGAGGGGCCAAGCAGGGCCACAGCAGCCGTCTGTCTATGGCATGGCCGCAGTTCCGCGCGCAAGAGAGCCTTCAAACTTTGTTTCAGATTCGGAGCCGAGCGGCCGAAGCCTTTGCAAGTGTCTCCGTTAGGGTAGGATCGTCAGGGGGTGGGTGCAACGACAAGTTCTTGGGGTTGGTTGTCTTCACCAATCGAAACCATGGTGGCAAAGAGAACGGTGATTATATCAACTGTGTTTAATTATGTCTAATTCAACACTCGTAGCTCGTGCATCTGCAGCGAAGCCTGGTTGGTGGAATGAACGCGCTCCATCTTCGGAGGGCAGAGTAGATTGATTCTTCTGATGGACAGAATCCTGCAGCACCTCAAAAT